GGTGATGCAACACTTTTTTTGATGTGTGTATTTAGTCCGTTATTTAGTTACGTTTTTATGTTACATTTATACTAGAAATATATGTTTCAATGTTTGTAGTTCGAATTAACAGAATGTCGACTATATTTCAATCAAAAGACATTCTGTCGTATGAATGACTAACAACTCTGAATAATTTTTTCATGTATCGCAAAACATTTATTTTCGCTGTAAAGCGTCGAAATACCTTGATAACTTCATCTTACTTTTAGATCAAACAAAAGATGCCTAATTTTTTCGAATAAGTGCGTCAATGTCAAATCTCACAATAATGATACAAACATTTATGCGGATTGATTTTTATGCTCGATTAAAACTACACTTACGAATGCTATTTGCAGACGTAGGCAGACCTATGGCATTAAATTATTTGCTCAGTCAGGTCACATGTTTTCGCGATTTTCATCATTGTAAGCATATGATAAGATATTACGTAATATGATAAAATAAAACTTATTTAGCTATTTAAGATTAATGCATTAGTTAAATGATAGTAGCAAAAATTTATTAAAATTAAAATATGTATATATTTCTTATATTTATATTGTTGAATATCAAATAAATAGATTATAACAAAGTTAAAGTATAAACAAAGTAATGATTTTTAACATTTTTATGAAAGAACTATTCGTAATTATTAGTATTATTTTATTTTATCTTATTCGTAATTATTTTTCCTAATAGATAAAAATTTTTATTTATATTACCCTTGAAATCAACTGTAAGAAATAAAAAGATTAATACGTAAAGAAGAGTTTGATTTGTTACCAAATAATTTAAACATTATATGAAATATAAAAATAATTATGTATATCAAATTAATAATTTTAAAACAAAATATATATTCCAAATATATTATTTAGTTTCTATATTATTTAGTTTCTACATTAGTGTTGCAATTTATGATTTCTTTTCATAAAAAAGATTAATGCAAAAATTTAAAAATTAAATTTTTAAGTTTACAGATGCGCTGAAAAGACAAAATCATCTATGTAATATTCACATATTTGTCAATGTTTTGACATATGACATATATATATTCTTATAGCTTTTACTGTCTCATTATTATCTAATTATTTAAGATCGAATTTATTTTTTATAAATGTTTTAAAAATATTTTTATAAATGTTTTAAAATTGTTATCAAATGCCTATCACGATCATCATGACCAATGTCTATTAACTTTAATTACAGTTTACTCCTTATCTTTTTTTATCCTTGATCTCTTTATCCCTTTTTTTTACATTCCTTCTTATTATTGTTCATCAATTTTAATTTCGATTTATATTTTCCAATTCCTAGAAGCGTTAAGTTCAATTGAAATTAAAGTTAATATAAATATACGACAGTGTCGACGGTTCGCCGGTCGAAATTGGTCGAGATGTGTCAACGCCCGGTGTCCAAACGTACGATACGTACCGACCTAATTTCCCACGAGGATGCACGAGGGATCAATACATGACGCAACGCGTTCACGAAACGTCGTGTAGATGTCGTAGAGGGATCTCGACTGCATCGTACGGCGCGGCGTGTGCATTGTGCAACAGTGCAACTGGGGTACCGGGAACATGAGGGTTGAACGAGGTGGAGTGTGTACACGCACGAACGACTGAAAAGGAGGTGTGTCGTCACGAGTTGTGAGCAACGTCTTCGTGGTGACATCCCGGCGACGTCTCGGCGTCTTGCACCGTAAGTCGAATCAAATTGTTCGTCGTTACTGCCAGTATAGGTTATGTCCGGACGGAATGCAGTAATGACATTGAAACGAGAGATCGAGGGACATTTTTCACACGTGCTCACACGTAGCAACGAGCGATTTCGTTCACGAGCGAGATGAGCGCGGGACGCGTTTATCGACCGGTCGATTGACCGACGAGGCGGATCTTCCTAATTCTTTGACATCTACGAGCGCTTCGAGCGCGCTCGCGAAGAAGTCTTCCGCCGTTTCCTTTGTCAAAATTTTTCTCTGATCTTTGAGCTCCGATTAGATTTTTGTTTTTGTAAAAGATTAATTTTGTCAACGGTAGAAGACGGATCTTCTTTGTGATTTTTTGTTTTTTGTAACAATTAGGTATTATGTTATTTTTGCAATTTTTTTACATTTCCTTGAGTATGTCATATTTCTATTTATATGTCTCTCTGTCTCTCTCTCTCTCTCTCATGCGAGTATATTATCTCCGAATACATTATACTCAGAGATATATATATCTTTTGTATGTAATTAGTTTTTTTGAAACATTTGTATTTATATCTTTTTAAAGCATATTTTTAATAAACTTATTTATTTAGTTTATAAACTTATGCTGATTAATTACATGTAGTAAACTTTAAAGTTTTTCAAATAGCAAGATTGTTTTGGGAAGGTCGCAAGATTAATATATAAAATAAAAAAGATATATTTACATGTATGAAGAAAATGAATATTACAATAATTATTCATATAAAATAATATGTTTGTACAATATAAAGTTGTCAAAATTCAAGGAAGAGGGTATATAATATATAATAATAGGGTATATAATATATAATATATAATATACATAAATATATAATATACATAAATAATATATATTTATTATTCAACTGCAAAAGTTTCAGTAATATGAAGGAACGACTTAACGATGTTATTAAGATAAAAAACACTAAAATATAAAGGAGTTACATACGGACATTTTTTTAAATATAAATTAAGTCGTTTATGGTTTTGTTATTATTCTCAGTCTTCTAACAGTTCAAGCTGACAGAACAAAGTTTAATTTTTACTTTAATTTTTACTCTTACAAACGTACATTTCAGTGTTATGCCTGAATTAACTATTGAATTAATTAGGAGTCCCAAGCTTTTTGCTCCATCGTTTTAATCTGATGCAATTTAAATGACTGCAATGACTGCGCCAGCTCACGTATGCATTAACAATAGGGGAAGAGATTTTCGTTGAACCATGTCTATTATTACGCGTTCGCTAAGTCGATTGTGTCACGTAAGGTGTACGAGCATAATTTCTTTATGCATAACTTGGATAGCACACACACACACACACACACACACACACACACACACACACGCGCGCGCGCGCGCGCGCGCGCGCGCGCACATACATATATGCACTATTAGTTCTTTAGAAAGTGTGACAGAAAGTTATAGATTAGAAGAACAGATCAGATACGGATTCGATCATAATTTTGTTCAATTATCAAAATTATTATGTAGAATGCTCAAGTATGATAATAATTAAGTTTTTGACCTAGCAATTAATTTGAACTTGTAATATAATAATTTTGAATTTTCTCAAAATTTTTTCTATATCTGGCCAAATTTTTGGATTTGCCAGCAAAACCATTTTTTTCATATGCAATATGTCATATTTTAATTTCCGAGTGCAAATTAAATGTAGCGCAAAAAAAAAAGACAGCACCCCAGTAAAATTAAATGAAATATAATAGCAAATACAAAAAGACGTTTACGCTTTAAGAGCTTGTGTTGATAATGCAACAAATATGCGTGATATTTTACATTTCAATTAGATATTTATTCTGTCCTTCAGTTTACCATTTAATTTTCATGTAACTAATCGTTTTCTATTTGCAATAGGCGATAATTGTATTGCACCGTTTACTCGTCGTAGTATCTTGAGAGTATATTAATGAATTATGTCCATTATCGTTAATATTCAAAAGAGGGTTGTCACTCGTTTGATCGTGAACCTGGGACCCCAGGAGGATTTCCGTGCGACTTTTCTTCCGTCAGCTCAAGCGCAATGAGTATGCCGCGTGCGTCTTCGTGAGAGAAACCATGCCGCACACGCAAGAACACGCGTGTGCGTTAACGTCACCCGCCCCCACCGTTACTTCCCCGTGCGTGGGACTGACTTTAAATTACGATAAAGCAATCTTAAATTTTTTTGTCGCAGGCACTGCACGAACTTACACGCGTTTAAATAAGACCTTTTTTCCCTTTTCACTTTTCTTTATTGTCTTTTTTATGAGATATTCTGATAACGGTTTCTAAAAGCTTCTAAAACGAAGTCCGCGAGGCCAATATTTATTGCTCGGAAGTGATAATGCCAATCCGATTTTTAAAACACACATGCGGAACCGAGTCGAATTCCTCTTTTGTGCCCGTCCGTAGTTGGCGTAGATGGGATAAAAAAAAAATAAAAATCTTCAAGTTTTATCTGCGCCACTACGTTCTTCAGTCAAATAAGCTTTTAACAGGTTACAGTGACTTTACGGATGCACCGAAAACGCTGGTCGCGGAGGCCCGGAAACAATGATAATAATATTTGATACCTATTTTAAGAACGGTAGAACCGTGACGTAATCGCAAGCCGTGATGTTTTGACGTTTAAAATGCAGCCGAGGAGAACCGCACCCGGAATCGGAATTTTCTCTCCCTCCCTTTCTCTCCCCCGCGAAAATAATCGCGATCCGACCTGTGCGACGGGATTGTCATCAGACACCGATCGGAATTGCGATCACGTAGCGCAAAATGATGCATCTGCCGAGGCGGCGAATGATCGGAATGAACGATGCGATGAGAACGGTCGCGATTTCGCCGAATTATGACTCCGACGACTTGGTTTTGGCTTTGGCGGCTTCCCACCGTTGTATCGCGATGTTACGCGTTCGGCGAAGCCGGGAGTTTCCGGCGAAAATACACCGCGCCGTTAATTTCGGCTTCTGACCGTGAAAACGAGCGCGAGCGCGCGTCGTGTAAATTGTTTGAAACGGGCGCGCGTACGATTTACGAGCGGAGCTCTTCTCGAGCGAGAAACGGGACACGTAGAAGCGGAGCACGTATTTTCCTTATTTTCGTTATTCGCCGTCGCGATTTAATTTTAGCGGAACGCTGAATGAAACCGGCCACGCGACCACACCGGAAACGCGACGCCGCCGGCCATTCGATGGCCGATCCTTCTCCGTCCGCGTGGAACTCCTTTCAGCTTCGAATTTCTGACGATCGTTCTCGCTGCATGAATTATTAATCAATTTTACGCCGGCAGGCGCATACGCGAGGGATCTGCTCGTAGCACGTGAAATGATGGTATCGCGATAAACGACCCGTTAGAAAGCGAAGTAGCGATTTCTACGTGGAGAGAACACTTTTGCTGGCAAATTGAAAAATTTGGCCAGATATAAATCTGAAAAGAATTTTCTTGAAAGAATTTTCTTTTTCTCAAAATTATCATGTTGGACACTTAAATATGACAATAATACTAAAATAATTTTATATCTTCTACATAGAAGAGAAATTAATCTTAAATCAAGACTAGATATGTAGATATATTCTCATAGCATGTATAAGCAAGGATATTATAATTTTCATATAAAATTTTTTTTTAGTGTTGAATTATGCAAAAGTAATACTTGCATTAATACAAATTCAAATTAGATTGAACTTTTCTAAAATTGTAACGTAATGTTCTCGCTTATAAAAATATCTGTCTTGATTTAAGACTAATTTTTTTCTGTGTAGTAATCAATTTGAATAATTTTGAAGACTCGGCAAAATTATTGTCAGACCCGTATCTGACATCAAAAATTTTAGATCTGCCAATAAAACTATTCTTTCCATATACAAGGCACTGTCTAAGCCTTTCTCGTTAACGGTCCAATCACACGGTCGTACCTTAGATAAATTGGACGATATCGGCACGACAATACCGAGGGCAGGGAAACGCGACAGATTCGCCGTGGCTTTTCCACGCCGCGTAAACGCGCAACGGCCGTCGATTATCCGCTATTTACACGACGCGACAGCGGGTTTCTCTCCGCTTTCCACTACTACGCATTTTACGATCGTGTGTACCACCTTGTGAGCTTGTGAGACGAGCTGCACGAAGCTGCTTCTTCAACGCGATTCTTTTCTCTCGTTGGACCACGCGGCCGATATCGTCGGGTTTTTACTAGCTCCGAAGTGTCGTCCGAAACTCTGAAAAGAAAGGAATGACAATAAGCGTCACGCTTTTATTGTCTTTCTGCGTATCCTGAAGTTTCGAAAGAAAAATCTTCTCACACGAGTGTTGAAGTAAAGCGTTCTCGCTTCCCGATTCTATATAATTTATGTTGAAAGCACAATACAAGTTTTAATTTTAATATTTTAAAAACGGTTGCTACGTATGAAAGAAAAATTTTGGTTAAAAATGAACGAATCAGAAATTCCGAATGAAATTAGATTTTTGTTTAAATTAAGCAGAGAGCGTCTTGTTAGTTTAAGAGAATTTTGATAATTTCAATCAGAAATTTTGTGTGTTCATTTTTAAAATTTTAGTACAACCGATCAAACTATTTCTTCCGTTGTAATTACATTGATTCGTATTACAGCTTGACCTTTGAGCAATTCTGTAAATGGACTATAAATCAATCGAATATCGCCGTTTAAGAAAAACACTGCCCCGTTAAAATTCACTTATCAGGAGAAACACTCGGAATTTGCTGTCGTCAAATCGAATGACTTTCCTCCGGTTGTTTGTATTCTAAATAATCGATCGTACGAATTGGCATGACGCATATGGTTAGGTTTGATAGTAAAACTTCCCGAATTCATTATCTGTTTAAAACAAAGCGCGGCCTCTGACCGGTGGCAAACTGTCGGATCCCCGGGAGCGCGAGAAAGCATGTGAAAGAGTTTTGAGAATGCTTGTGAGTAGCCGATCGTCGGCGAAAATGCAATTTGGAAAGCTGTGAGAG